TTTATTGATTTTGTATCAGTGTAATTGTTAGTTGTTTATTATAAAAAGTGCGTATTTATCAGGACTTGGTTTTTTTTATTTATAATTTATAAAATTCAAAAAAAAAAATTCAAAAAATAAAAAGCAATATAATAAATAATCTGTGAATTCAGTATGTTATGTGGATACTATTGTGAGAATAAAGTTTGTTCGTCAGACAATAAAAGAAGAAAGTAATCTGATCGTTGTATAGGCCATTGGTGCATATCCTGTGGGTCGTGAGGATAATGAAATTGAAATGGTGCTATTCGTGCCCACTCACTTTAACGATAGGGATCTTGAAACCCAGGCCATTTTTGAGAGAGATCATTTTTACTCTGTGGGTGGTAAGATCATACCTGGATTTTATACAGGCAATAAAAGGCCAAAGTCAATTTCGACTGAGGTAGAAATTTTAAACAGAGTTGTTCAGTCAAACAAATGCCCGTTAAAAATTTCTCTAATTGGAGTTCCTCAAGAATTGCCAAAGGTACTGGAGAATGATGAGAATGCAATTTTCAACATGTTAATTAATGATTACGCTATTCAAGATCATAATTTTATAGCTAAGATCACATTTCCACATTCTAATTCACGTTTTGCACACTTGAAGAGTACGATTCGTCCACATGATTCACTTGTATTCATCATTAGTCAGATGGAAGTCATTGATAATGATTTTTATATCTATGCAAAAGATATTAATTTCATTGATATTAGTAGTTTTAAGCGAAAAATTTCTAATGATAGTAGTTCTAGTGGTTTTACCGAAGCTGTCAATACAATTCGTGCAAAACTTCTTCTTACTCACCAAAATGTTCACGGAAATTCTCAAGATACTTCAAAAATTGAGGAATCAGCTTCAACAGTTTTTACAGATGATTTGTTATCGCCTGGAAGCACTTCTTCAAAGCGTGTTTGAATTGAAGACAATAATGAATCTATCGAATCTATCGATGTTTTTGGTTCTACTGATAATAATTATACGAAGTCTGTTGGAATTAATAGTTCTTGTGAGGTTATTCAAGATGAT